GAGGAAGCAAACAGCACAGATGTCAAAAGCAAATCTGCAAGGAAGTTTCTGCTGAACATTTTATCTACTAATGTTCTCTTGAAAGTAGTGATTTTCATACAGAATATCATTTTGAATTACACTGGAAAGAGCGGAGATTGATGTGAAGATTAGGAGGCTGTCAGATGCAGTTAACAAATTCTGAACGGAAAATTAACAACTAGCTTTCTCCAATAGGTATTTTATCATTGAGTGTGGTTGAATGGGCTTTGTTTCTGACAAAGAGGCTATAAACAATGCTGATTTAGTAAAATATGATTTTAACAAACATACTCCATTCAGCATTGTTTACATGAAGAAAACTAATGATCCCAAAGTATTAACAGAACAACCATTGCAATAATATATGTCATATTATATTACATAGAAACAAATTAACGTCTCAGTCCTGCAATGAGTTCCATGCAGGTGGGCCCTGCGCCTGAGGAGTTCATAGTGTTTGGGCCTAAGGTAGTTATAGGTATTAGACAATACCTATAAAATCTTCAAAATAAATATTGAAAAAACACGAGCATATTCTATACAACAGTTTGCCTGTCTAACATGCATACTCTTTTTGAGCTTTATCTTAGAAGGTGGGAGAAATTTGAGATTCAAAATATGATTAGACAGTTCATATACAATTTTCCTCGTCTCTCCGACTTTCCAGAGGATACATGGGGAATTTTGTACTCAAATTACAAAGGATCACTGCTATGTGAAAGAAGGAATTGTAATCACATAAATCTTAAGTATAACTAAGGTATTCACTGATAAAACAATTATTTTCAATAAAATATTTTGTGGCTCTAACGAGAGAAGCCTGAACACTATTCCGCTTTAATTACCTCTCTGGAGAATCATCCTGCTTTTTAAATCCAGGAGGAAGAGCAGGTCCAAAAAAGCCATCATCGTCATCATCATCCTCCTGAGCTCTTTTCTGTTTTCTACAAATACAGTGATTTAGCTTAATAATTACGCTGACATAGATGGCAATTATCTACACTTTAAAGGAAAAAACCAAAATGATTTCCAAAAGTCTTACATTATGTACTATCTTGCTGTTACCACGGAAACACAGCATAAGAATCTGAAATAATTTGGAGCAATTAAATATTTGTTAGCGTAAGCCTCATTCTTACACTGCAGTGACATTTTAAAAAAATGTTATTGGTGCAGAAAGAGAAAATCAAATAGTAAAACACGGTAATGCTTGTTTTGCATGCACAAAGTAATTTTAACACCAGCATATTTCTTGCTACATTTTTACCATCATTCTATACATTTTGACTAGTACTTTTCCAAATCGAATTTTAGACTGAACAATCAGTAAATAAAACCATGGGGGAAAAGTAGGGAGTATTTACACTAATGATCATTACATGGAAATAGTATAATGCCCTCTAAGATTCCAATCCTGCAAACACTTGCACGTTTTTAAACTTCGCACATTTGACTAGTCCCATTAAATCTGAATATGTGCAGTTTGCTGAGATTTGCTATTAAAAAAAAAATTTTCCGCCCTTCAAATCAAAATAATCATATACCCTCACTTGTTAAGGGCTTGATCACGCACAGGAATCTTTACACTGACTTCAATGGGAGTCAGACTGGTCCCTATATACAGTATTATGATGATAGGCATGTCACAAATACCTAAGTTAAATAGATAGTCTAAAAAGGAGATAACTCTATTATCTGTTTATCTTAAACATTTTTAACATGAACGCTGCATCTAGGAGCCCAAACTAGTTCCCACTGAAGTCAACAGAAAGAATCCTATTAACTTGTCAGAGAATCAGAGTTGGATCAGGCCTAATGGGAGTTGAAAATTGTTCACTGTGTCATTGGTAAGCTAATTTTCCCTGCGATCATCCATTTGATCTATAACTTTGATGTTATGACAATCTGACTATTCTTACCATAACAGGTAAGAATAGTCAGAGATACTGCACCTCCTAAAACAGGTGCAGTATCTCCCATTAGTATGTTTATATTCATGTAGAGTCAAAGGCCACATTTTTCAAGACTTTATGCCTAAAGTTAGAAGTGGCTTAATTTTCAAAGACCCTAAGCACCTCTAGATATTAACTTCAATGTGATTTGTGGGTGCTTAGAACTTCTGAAAATTGAGCCACTTCTATTTAAGTTCCTAAATATGGATATAGGAGTCTAAGTTCAGGTATGCAGGTTTGAAAATTTTGGCCTTTTTCTTTTTTTTAAAACCTCAAAATTTCATTTCTACCTCCAATATGCTTCTTAATATACATTTATACTAGGAAACACTAATTTCAAAATTCACAGTCCACCCAAAGTCTATTATAGATCCATTGCTTATTGCTAGCAAAGATATAGTTTATCAAAATACACTTCCATGAACAGGCCCATCACAGCAACTTTAATATAGTTATACTAACAAGCTGCTTATTACTTTCTGCAGGGAAACTTTGCTGTACTTTCGAAACAGAATTCACACAATATTAAGTTTTCAAATTTCTAATAAAGTGTCTATCATCCACATCTGTTGTGTATACTCACAAATTAAAAGTACCATCTAAAAGTTAAGTGACACGTCAACCTAGATACAAAATTAAAATGAAATGAACAATTCAGATTGCACTGAACAAGCCAGTCACAATCTAAGGAGACACACAGATTAGGCAGCCACTATCACCCTGGAAAGGATGAGGAGACAATGTTAGCAGACTTTATCTTGGTGTGGCATTTGCTTTCTTTAGTTGCATAATAAAGCCCCTTTCTGATTCTGCATCTGGGCTAATTCAGTCAACTCATTGTATGAAGTGGTCCAATTTCTGCTTATTTTACCAGAGTAAATACATGAATCACACACAAACAGACTGACTTGGGTACTGGATCAGTGTCCTGCTCCTCTTCAGAATCTCTATTTGCTTCTCTGAGCAGAGGAGGAGACTTGGAGTCTTCATCACTGTCATGCATTTCTGAGCTTTTTTTGTAGCCAGGAGGCAATACTGGACCTGCAACTAAACATCAAGATTTAGTGTGGATATTTGATTAAACACTTTAAAAGAACATTACCACTTTGGTATCATCAAAATATGTATTTCGCTGGATTTAACTTTATTCAAACAGTCCTGTCTCTACATAAGAGTTAACAATGATTTAACAAAGGTCCTGACACAGCCGAGCACGTAAGAACAAGTGTTAATGATTTGCTGAATAAAGATTGATTTAAGCATGTGTTTTAAGTGCTTTGTTGAATTATGGTCTAAATGAATAATTGATATCACAGGATTGAATGGCTCTGACACTACTGGGCTTTTTATAATTTCACAGTGCATTCTGAGGCATAAACTCTACAGGGCCTTTTGAAATTTCAAACACTGATTTTTAAGGCAAACAGGAAGGGAAACTTATTTGGCTGGGAAGAGGTACAGTGAACTTTTACTACAGCCAAAGAATTAAAACAAACAAAAAAAAAAATCAGGTACAATGAAGCCATATAAATGAAGGCTGAGAGAAAATTACATCTACAATTAAAGAGTTGTGACCTTTTAAATTATGCAAAATAAACCAGAGCCATCTAGGAGCTCAATTTTTATTAGGCAAGTCTTAGGGCTTGTCTTCACTACCTGCCTGGATCGGCGGGTAGAAATCAATCTCTCGGGGATCAATTTATCGCGTCTCGTTGGGACGCGATAATCGATCCGCGAATCGACGCGTGTACTCCACCAGCCCAGGTAGGAGTAAGCGGCGTCAACGGGGGAGCGCAGCAGTCGATTTGCCGCCATCCTCACAGCGGGGTAAGTCGGATCAGATACGTCGAATTCAGCTACTCTATTCCCATAGCTGAATTTGCGTATCTGAAATCGATCCGCCCCCCTCCCCCCCGTAATGTAGACGTAGCCTTAGACAAGAATGAGAAAGATTAATGGGGACATTACACAACTCATCATTTCTTCACATTCAATTTACAAAGCAACCACTGATCTGTCTCTCATTTCAGCTTCTTGTTTGTATGGAAAGGAAATGAACCAAGACAACAGACCCATGAATCCACTTCAATACCAGATATTTCTGGTGATTCATGTCAGAGTTGCCCCCGCCCCAGAATTATAAGACGTGATTTTGGAAGACACAGGAAAGAGGCAAGGGTTAATAAGCAATATATTATATTGACTACGGTCAATATGTTACCCATTTTGGTTTGTTTGATCAGTGTAACTGAATGCATGCCCATTTTTATCAGTTATTTAAAAATATATATATGTTTAAGACCCTGATCCTGAAAGCACCTATGCACATTCTCAACTTTTCACAACTTAAATTCAGCGGCATTACACATGTGTAAAGTTAAATTTATGTATAAATGTTTGGAGGATCAGACCTAAATGAGTAAAGTATCCTACAGATGTGACAGGCAATTATAAACGGGGCGGCTAATGCTACTTATTATTAAGGTTGCCCAAAAGTTCCCATTATAAGACCCTGTTTTCAGAAACTTAACACTTTACCAAATATTAACCATTTGGGCTGAAGTTTTCCATGCCTGGTGTCTGTCTCGGGTTGAAATATTTGGAAAATTTCAGCCAAAATAGTTCAGCATTTTCTAGGAACAGAGCTAAGGAAATATATATTGGAAGAATTTTTTAACATGGGCAAAACAATCTTTTCTTTTAACAGATCCTTTAATGCAGGGACTTTAAATTTGGTAGAGATATGAACATTGTGTCTATAAAAGGAACCTTACTTCTAGCATCTCCTAACTTTTGAATGCTTAACATTGAAACCTTAATAGTGCCCTTTTAATGTAGTTGTTTTGTGTATGTTATATGCAAAAAGAATAAGTAGGCATAATGAAGCCAAAAGAAAGGATTATTAAATATTTGCTGACATACTGCCTCATGAAAATTACACATAACCAAACTGTGCATGTGAAGTAGTAAATCCATTTCATGAATGTTGACATTAATAAATGGTTGTCTTCACTCTTCTGATTTCAGGTATCAAATTAACCTTTTCTGATGGAATTACAAGCTTGAAAGTGCACAATTTTGTACATCATTTTCTCTGAAGAAGGTAGATGCTAAAAAAGATGTCTAGAAATGAAAATGTCCGAGGAAAAGTGAAGGACAAGCTCACACATAAATTCAACTACCAAACAAATAAAAAAAAAATACATATTTGAAGAGTTGTTCAGATCAGGTCAAAAGAAAAGAAACATCAAGTATTAGTCAAACAAGAGCAAGGCCCAGGAAGGAACATCTGGGAAGTGGTGACAGCAGTGGCAGGTGTGGAATGCAGACATCCTTATCCCCTAGCAAGTTGCACCAGTAGCTTAATATTTTCAGATTCTTATTAATTGTACATTTTTAGTATGTTAGAAAATAGTGTATGATATCTTGGTTATTTACTAGATAATTAACTTGCTCATGATTTGTTTCTTGCTGTATTAGGATGTTAACTAGAATTTAATTAAACACACAAAACAGCATATCAATTTTTCTAATTAAACAAAATAAGCCCATAGTACAGCATATAACCTGTTGTGCCATATTATTAAATTTTAACCTCAGAAGTTGGCTGTTTCCCCCCCCCAATTAATTCCGTATATAGAAAAGCAGCTTTTAACTCAAAAGTTTTTGATAGAGGCTCATGGATTAAGCATAAGTAACTCCTCACTGCTTTGAGCAGGGGGTTGGACTAGATGACCTCTTGAGGTCCCTTCCAACTCTGATATTCTATGATTCTCACTTAACGTCCTCCCGCTTAACGTTGTTTCGAAGTTACGTCACTGCTCCATTAGGGAACATACTCATTTAAAGTTGTGCAATGCTCCCTTATAATGTCCTTTGGCTGACTTTACAAGGGAGCATTGCACAAGTTCCTCTTCTCCGCCTCCTCCCCCTCCCTTCCTCCCAGTGCTTCCCCCGCAGTTTGGCAGCACTTAGGACTTTCTGGGAGGGAGGGAGTGAGCGGGGAAGCTGCCCCTCTCCCCCGCCCCCCCCCGGCCAGGCAGGGCCACCCGGAATGCAGGGGCTTTAGGGGCTGCAGGGCCCTGGGCTAAGGAGGCCCCGGGGCCCTGGCCTGCAGCTCTAAAGCCCCTTTCGGAATGCAGCCCTGCGAGCATGAGCTGGAGGACTCAGGAGGAGCAAGGGCAGTCGCGCAGTCAGCGGCCAGAGAGAAGCAGCGTTTTCCCCTTCAAAGCCGGCCAGACAGAAGCGGAGCTTTGAAGGGGATGCACCCTTCTCTCCAGCCACTGGCTGCCCGGCTGCCCCTGCTCCTCCTGAGTCCTCCGGCCCATGGAGGAGCAGAGGCAGCCGCGCAGCCAGCGGCCGGAAAGAAGCGTCGCCTTCCCCTTCAAAGCCGGCTGGAGAGAAGCGGTATTATATACAGCATATAATGCCTTTTGTCTGCCCCCCCAAAATTTCCTTGGATCCTAACCCCCTGCATTTACATTAAATCTTATGAGAAAATTGGATTCGTTTAACATCGTTTCACTTAAAGTTGCATTTGTCAGGAACACACTACAACGTTAAGTGAGGAGTTACAGTACTCGATCACAAGCCGATTCGTTTATAAGCCGACCCCCCCCAAGATGGATAAGTAAAAATGGAAAATTTTATGACTCATTCATAAGCCGACCCTATAATTCAGGGGTCAGCAAACTTTGGCTCCTGGGCCATGAGGATAAGTCGCTGGCGGGCCGAGATGGTTTGTTTACCTTGAGTGTCCGCAGGCACGGAGGTAAACCTAAGTAAACAAAGCGTCCCGGCGTGCCAGCTGCTTACCCTGATGGGCCGGGACAGCAACTGGTGGGGAAATGTTTTTTTTTTGGGGGGGGGGGAGATGGGGGGAGAAGCTGGGAGTCAGGGGAGTAACCCCACATGGCCCCACCCCTAGCCTGGGACCCCCCATCCCATCCCTTCCCACCTTATCTGGGGAGGATGTCTCTGGCCTGGCTGGAGCTGCTCCGGCAGGTTGGGCAGCACGACCGCAACCTGTTCCAGCGGGCCAGACCGGGCGGCGCAGCCGCAGCATGTTCCAGCAGGCCGGGCCAGGTGGCATGGCCGCACCGTGCTGCTACACCGGGCCGTGCGGCCACAGCCTGCTCTGGGGGGTGGAGCCGAGCGGCACGGCTGCAGCCTGCCAGCCCCAGAGCTGCAGCTGCTTCGGAGGCTGGGGGGAGAGCAGCGTGTCCAGAAGTGGAGAGACTCTGGCCCCGCCTCTTCCCTTCTGGCTCTGCTGCCTCTCCTTGCTCCCTCTGTTGGTGGGAGGGCCTCTGTCCCACCTCTCCCTCTCTATACCTGTTCATAAGCTGACCCCCTTCTCTGGTGCTTCCCTTATTTACTAGAAAAAATTCGGTTTATGCGTATATACAGTATTTATTTTTTATTTAAATATCAGGGATCGGCAACCTTTGGCACGCGGCCCATCAGGGAAATCCGCTGATGGGCCGGAACGGTTTGTTTACCTGCAGCGTCTGCAGGTTCAGCCGATCGCAGCTCCCACTGGTTGCGGTTCGCCGTTCCGGATCTGGGCTAATAGGAGCTGCGGGAAGCGGCGTGGGATGTGCTGGCCGCCGCTTCCCACAGCCCCCATTGGCCTGGAATGGCAAACTGCGTCCAGTGGGAGCTGCGATCGGCCGAACCTGCAGACGCTGCAGGTAAACAAACCATCCCGGCCCATCAGCGGATTTCCCTGATGGGCCATGTGCCAAAGGTTTCCGATCCCTGTTTCAGATACAATAATAAGTTTAGGCCTTAACATATTTTCAACTGATTTTCAGTGGCACTCACACTGCCCGGGTCCTGGCCATTGGTCTGTGGGGCTCAGCATTTTAATTTCATTTTAAATGAAGCTTCTTAAATATTTTAAAAACCTTATTTACTTTACATACAACAATAGTTTTGTTATATATTATAGACTTATAGAAAGAGACCTTCTAAAAATGTTTAAATGTATTACTGGCACACGAAACCTTATATTAGCGTGAATAAATGAAGACTCGGCACACCACTTCTGAAAGGTTGCCGACCCCTGCCTTGAACTGTTGGAAGCCGCTTCTAAACAAATTACCAACAAACCCAGATGGGCATTTAAACTAAGAATAAAGTAATATTATTTAAAAGTGGTTAACATAATCTGCCTCCATATAACAACCTTTTAAGACCATTTTACACATGTTAAGTAACCATATTAAAACTTCTCTAGAGAATCATCTCATAATACTGAATGAGGTTTAGCTTAAATCCATTTATCTGAGCTGCAGACAATGTTTTACAGAATTTGTTGCAGAGCCACATTAGATCTTTCTCAAGGGCATTCCAACAATACATAGCAAATACCAGCATCTTAACTGTTTTCTGAGAGGCTTCTTCAGAACTAGCACAATGTAGATCAGCATAAGCAGCAGCAAGACATATAAAACGCTGTATTTCATATTTGTCTGGTGATTTTATGCATTGCAAAGCACATCAGATGTGATTTTCAAGGGGTAATGTGGGTGCTCAAATATGGTTGTAAGAATACTCATGGATAGAATGAATTAAGTAAAATTGTTTTCAGACACAAAGTTAAATTTTGGGCTAAGACATAATTTAAGCATCCTCCCCAATAAATTAGTTTAAAATATAGTCCCTTCTTAAGAAAAATGAAGCAGCAAATAGTGAAGTATGATAAAGCAACCTACTGTAGGTGAACCAAACCTGAGGTATCTGCTGTCTAACTGCATTTTGTCATCTGTGGTAAAGGACAAGTAAATGCTAGCAAACCCATAAATAGACAAAGTGTAAGGCCAGAAAAAAGTAAAAAGCAACAGAGGGTCCTGTGGCACCTTTGAGACTAACAGAGGTTAGTCTCAAAGGTGCCACAGGACCCTCTGTTGCTTTTTACTTTTTTCTGGCC